TATATATATATATATATATATATATATATATATATATATATATATACCACATAACGGATATCCATAGTGATGCTGGGAATACCACAAAACCAGGTCGCAGTTGTCAGCAATTCGAACTTCTCGTCGTATTCTTTCCATAAATACCTGTTATACCCCTAGTATACCTATTGATCACCTCCCAGATATATACCGGTGGCACAATAGTACACCGGAGGCTGCCGACAATTTACCCACACTACGTAAACATCTTAGACAGTTGTGTGTGTCGCCTCGTGGCGCGTTGTTAGCTGTGTACCCGTGTTCCCCTTCCGTTGTTCTCCTGCTGTTGTGTGCCCATCGGCAGATACATGCGATGAGAGAGAGAGAGAGAGAGATGATGTTTGCATTGCCTGGCGAAGCGAGAGTTCTTCCTCTACGTCCACTATTCCTCTAAACAACTCCGTGAGAGCACCGCGAGTGGTTTCCCCCCCCCCAGCCGAGTGCAAACAATCTGTTCGGAAACACGCAGCCGCCGTCAGTCTGCTTTCTATTGCGGACGGCCAGGGGTCGTGGTTAGTCGCGGATTACGCTGGAAAGACCACACATCCAGCACGTTTCTATAGAGCCGAGACCAATCTCTAGACCAATTTCATAAATTGACCACCTATTTCCATGTTGAGACATGGGTTATGTGGAGGCTATTTACGTGGGTTCTCGCACGCACACACTGCCTCTCTCTCTCTTCGTTTCTCTTTCTACATTTTTCCATCCTCTCTCACTCTCTCCCAGCCCCCTCCCTCTTCTTTATTTCTATTTTGCGTAGTCGCGATTTCGGCGTTTCTTTTAGAATTTATCGATGTTATAATACATGAGTTTTACTCTGTGGTGGTTTATATGCAATTAAGATTATGCGGTGGCTTTGATTTGACAGCCTATTCGCCCCCCACGAAGTGTAATTACCCTTTAATAATGCATATATGCGGCGTTAATGACATATAGTGGGTATATTGGCGGCACTGCGCTGCCAAAACCTAGCTATTAACTTTCACAGGTTATTGTATACTTTCACCCAACTCATAACATGTTGGCTTATGCCGCTTAGCTAACCATTCATTTCCATTTTAATGGTTCGGTATACCTACTGACTCAAGGTTGTTTCTGTCAAATAAAATACACAGGGGTTGCTGTATAGAAATGTTGTAAAGTACGGTATTTTCACATGTATAGGCTATATAACGCACCTATTCAAACAGCATAGGTACACAACACGAACGCGCACACACATGCGCGCGCGCGCACACACACACACACACACACACACACACACACACACACACACACACACACACACACACACACACACACACATACATACACACCTGCATCATAATGAATACGAACACTAGCATTCGCCTCGCTAATCAATTTACCGCCAAATATTTATCCGAATAAGTGATCTTCTGTTGTTTACCTGGCATGCAGCCACGTTTGACCGTTATGATAAGTATGTGTGTGTAAACGTATCTTTGTGTGTGTGTGTGTGTTACAGACATATTGGCTGCGGTGAAGACCAGGGCTAGCATCGTGTCAACGGAATTCACGAAACTATTCAAGTAAGTCAAGGCTGGCCAGCGAGCCAGTAAATCTGTTTGACTTGTGACGTTGTGAAATGTTCTGTCTCACGTAAAAAGAGGGACATCTTGCCTCTTACGTTATCCATTTAAAAAAAAGCAAGGGCAAGCGGGTGACATGAGAGATGTTCACACTACCACGTTCTGGTATAAATGTAATCAAATTGTCGCTCTCCTATCATGGCACGTTACATTTAACTCCAGAATGTGAAAATAGCCCACCGTTTTGTTTTGCTATGCTATGCTATACCATACTTACACTTGCTGCACTATGCTATGTCGTGTTGGTATGCTAGGCTAGGCTAACCCATTACTATGCCTTGTTGCCCTTTGTTTCTTATATGTCGCGTCTCATACTGATTTATCAGTGTGACGTAGAATCTCATGTGTTTTTATCAATGATGATGATGATGATGATGATGATGATGATGATGATGATGATGATCATGTTGATATTGGTTATGATGATGATGATGATGATGACGACGATGATGATGATGATGATGATGTGAATAGTTGGGTTAATCTAACCAGTGACGATGCCGACGTTGTCAAAGGTAATTAAATCGTACATAATAAAAGGCAAATGACTTTTAAATTAAGGTAAATGACACGCAATGTGCAGCTCGTATTGCGTTGTAAGCGGCTTTGCTGGTCACGTTAAAGTACGACATCAAAAACATTAATCCAGGTAAATGAATTTATTACTCGCAATGCGCAGCTCGCATTAAGTTGTACTACATCAAAAACCAGGTGCGTCATAATCAATGAAACGCATGTTTTATCAGGTAGATCGCATGTCTTGAACGGGTTATGCGATTACAGAATATTACATTATTACCTCGCATAGCTATCATAAACAGTGACTTACCGTAATTACTTCAAAAATGGAAACACGCCAATGCCATCATATACATGACAGCATGTCTGTATCCAAAGCATTTACTTGCCGCCTCGCGAATTCGCTACTCAGACGAGGATCTGAGCATTTACGTTATTAAATAACCTAAAGAATATATATCTATATCTATATATATCTACGTATATATCTCTCTCTTCTTCTTCTTTCTCTCTCTCTCTCTCTCTCTCTGCTCTCTTTCTCTCTCTTCTGTCACACTCTCTCTCTCGTCCTCTCGTCTCTCTCCTCTCTACCTGCTCGCTTCAACAAACTCATCGTCTCGTTCCGCCCTCGCTCGTCTCTCACACGTCTTTTTGTCTCTCTCTCTCTCTCTCCTTGCTCGGCGAGTCGCGTCGCGGTCTTTCATCTCCTCTCACGTCTCTGGTCACCACCTCTCTCTACGTTCGTCGGTCTCTCCTACGTCTCTCCCGATGTTTGAGGGCAGGCGCACGGATCTCTCAGCTCTCATGCTCTCTCTCTTCTCTCTCGCTCTCATGCTCTCTTCTATATATATATATAAATATTTGTCATTATACGCTCCTGATATACTATAAGTATCTTTCAATATAAGTGCGTCATCACGAGGCAAATTTACATTCTATGTATTATTATTCTCATGTCTCGCATTCTGCGTAACAGGAACTTTTATTTACTCAGAAACTAATAGGGTTTATTTTCGCAGTTTCTTCTTTTATTCTTCTTGCTCGGTTTCCTTCTTAATTTATCTCACCAAGTAACAACTTTTTGTCCCAAATTATTATCTATTCGAAGTTGCGTTTCTTGCGGCTGTCCTACAGATATGCAGTAATGATGCTAATTACGTTATATGTTAATTTGTTGATGCAACTAGTCAAATGGAACTAGACGCGCAATGATGACAGTTTACTTTCGTGCGCTCACTCAGGCGCGATGCACATCCGACGTTTCATTATAATACTTCCTACCTTATGATGAAATGCAAAAACACGAGGAATCGACGTGTCCCGTTTACTCTGCAAATTACAGTTATTACTGGCATTAGTAGTCATAGAAATTAAGTTAGTCAGTCATTAGAAAAACAAAAGCATGACTCACTGTATACGTGCACATATAGGCCTACTGGGATAGCTAACGCCGTGCTGTTAGGTTACACGTCACTGAGATCGACAAAGGAAATAAATTATTAGTTTATTATTATTAATAGTGGTACAAACCGATATTAAACATAAGCGAGGGAAGTTTATAAATAAAGCCCACGCTGTCAAAGTAAGATCGAATTTACTCGCGGACCGTAAATCGATATAGGGACGTAAACATGCAGAATACATGGCTATTATTTCAGGAAATATCAAAACATCGCCGACTACCGATAGTGCATGCGTTAGGTGATATCAGGGGTGAATAATGACAAATATTTGTTATTGTACATATTTTACATATTGTACATATTGTACATTAGTATATATTGTACATATATTGTAATATGTTGTATGTATTGTGTATATTGTACATATTGTAGTATATATTATCAGGAGTAGATAATGGGGAATTCCCTATTATCTACTTCTGATATTATTGTATACATCACATATATTGTAATATTTGTCATTATTTCCTCCTGGTGATATATGTACTCTGTCGGACACTGACAGCTGTAGAGTGTGAGTCACTGCTAATGTCAATCGGACTGTTAGTAATGTGACAAGCCAGGGAAGAGATTACTTATATGCGGGCTGGATGGGGTGAGGGTGAGGGTGGGGTGCCATATGTGGTGCAGAGCAACACGGGAGCTGTTGTTTTATGCCGGCTGCTGTCAACACTGCTGTGTTTGCTGCGTGCCTGTGTGGTCACCAGGTACGACAGTGTTTGACTCTCAGTGATGATAGCGCGGTCACATATTCAGGTATAACACATAACATAATAACACATGGCGATGACAAAGTATATACAGACATCAGCAAATGTGCAGGCTTTCTATTAACGTACCTTAACACGCACGCACGCACACACAATAATGTGACATCAATATGACATGTGTAGATTAACACGTATGTCACTGCAAGTACCGCCTCTAATTGCTTACTACTAGTACTAGTATTACTAATAATATACTTGTACTAACAGTAATTCTACTGGTGGTGCATTTCAGATATAACATTTGATGAACTCATGTGTTGTTAAATTCTCAGTGGAGGGAACACGCGTGCGATAGTCCACATGCATGCACATGCGAAGCTACAAGGACATATAGCAATAGCAGCATATGCTGGCGAGCAATGTTGTTTTCACATTAGTGATAGTTTTTTAAGAAGAAAAAAACGCGCGCGAACGCGAAAACATTACAACTCACAACAAAACAAGCAGAGTGGAAAATTTAACAGAAGGAACTCGATCCAGAAGAGCATTTTCGTATATATATATATATATATATATATATATATATATATATATATATATATATCAAGAGCTAATAAATACCTAGAAATACTATACCTATAAATACTAAATATATATACTAAAAATATAGGTATTTATTAGCTTTTGATATATATATCTTGATATATATATACATATATATATAGGATTACAGGGGGCGTTGTGCGTGTACCTCGCAGCTACACGGCTACATACTGACAAACCGAGCTTGACAAATTGGGACGCAATGCATATCTCTGGCCACTCTGTCACCGGGCAGACATCTTGTAGGAAGTATTTAAATTCAGCTTTGATAATTTCGCTAGTCACGGCTCGTTCCCCCTCACAAAAAACGTTGCCAATTTAAAGTAGTTAAAGAAGACAAACTGGTTTGCATGAGAGGACCGCAGTCGTCGCTGTAATTTAGTGCGAATGTGTGAATTTTTCTTTTTTCTCGGCGATATAACGTTTTGCGAACAGATTAACGAAGCTGCCGAATATTTATTTATAGATGTGAATTAAGGAAATAATATTTTACGCGGCAATTACTTTAATTATAACAATATGTCAGCGACCTGGAGATGACTATGGATGGTAAACCATGGGACGACTCGTGTAACGTACGTAACCTATTGACTGATGTAACGAAAAGTATGCGCAATCTTTTCGTCGCCGTTCAAATCTAGAGTGTTCTATTTATATATAATTATTATTAGCGTGTATTGAGAGTAGGAGAGTAGCAAACTGATCTATTTCCGCAGAGAATAGAGACGCACAACTTAGACAGAACACATATCCCACATTCTAGAGGTTATACTGTACGTCCGTAAAAGAAATCTGAATCAAAATCCGCATAACAATGCCCATATGCACTGGACCCGATATGACCCTATAACATTTCATACTATTGAATGTTAGCTACCGGCAAGCCGTATGTAATACTGACCTGCATCATACAAAGCGGATGCTGGCCGGATAATCTTACATGGCCCTAAAATTAATCCTATCTTTTGTGCGAGCCTGGCCTAGGTTACTACCTTTGCTACACCATAAAATCAGTTTATTACACACACAGAAGCTACTAATGTGTTACTTAATGGGCACATTACTTGGTGCTAAAGGCGTGTATTTCGTTATACATTAACGCAGCATAGTAAAGCTAATCGTGATGTTATAGAATATATAAGAGTTCACTTCTTGATTGCTAGATTTGTTACTGATAGCCGGCCGATCCCAGCAATCGCGATCGCTTGTTATGTTCAGACGAGACGGAGAGCTGACAACGATCTCACAACAGCTACGATAGAAGTTTGCCGCCCCACAATCACACAAAGAAATCATTTCGTAATTTAAGCTGCGCATGCGCGGACCTTCTGAGAACGCTGCGCGAATGAAATACGAGCGAAAAGGGAGTTGTATGCCGTGACTCTCAAAAAACGTTCAATAGCAGTCTCCGATTAAACACAATTGCTTCTTTTTTTAAAGAAATTCACCTTATTGTTTATTGAGGAGCATTGAATTGTACTCATCGAATTGCATCGGCTGTAAGACAACCATATACAAAGACAGTTTCATTAGAAATCTAGACCATATGTAAATCAAGATCTCTCTTCCAGTGTTTAGTTTAATTCTGTGTAATTGTAATCTCATTAAGTATGTCACTTGCAAAATAAAGCTGCCAGTGTAGCGGCTGTACGTGCAAGGTTCCGAATTCCAATCACCCTTTGAACAATCGTGATTTAATGATAGAAAATTATGATCGATGGCCGACCCAAAAAATATTCATAATTGCAAGTGCTGCCGGACCTATATAATTTTTATTACAATGTAACACAATTAGTAATTATTATGTAATCACTATAATTAACGCATTGTCTGTGTATGATTAGACTGTGCATTCCAGGCATAGCACCCGCGGCCGGATAACCCTCTATTTGTATTATATACTAATTGTAAACTAATTATAACTAATACAACTACTAATTGCATTATAACTATAATTATATATGTAACTGTTTCATGAATCTTCGCCGAAGAAAAGATCATTGCACGTTGTATGCTGTCTCCTTGCAGGCGTCTAGAGAAGGACAGGTGGGCGAACGTCAAGAGTAATATCCTGAAGATAGCCTGTCACATACGATCCCTGCTGCACGAATGCAACGCATGCGCAGCTACGCCGCCACCAAAGCTCTATAGGGTAACGCGTCACTTCTAATATTAGAGGGTTTTAAATACGAGTGAACGGGGGATAACGAACGTATCACTGTATACGAGAACAAGTCAGCCTGCCTGACAGCCAGTTTACACCATTCTTGTACGATAACGGTCTGGATAGAGACAGTTTGTGTGACACCGGTCCATCTGAATTTACATTTCATTCTAAGAGGACTGATCTATAACCACCACATAGTTACATTCGTAGTGCGTTACCATATAAGGCAGACACGATATATAGGTCCAAGTGTGTGTGTGTGTGGGGGGGGGGCTTAGCCGGGATATTTTATATCAGTTTCCTAGTGTGCTTCCTCAATGCAGATAGGATCAAGAGCGCATAAAGAAGGGCTTATAGGCTTTCTTTATACGCTCTTGATAGGATATAGCTGCGGACGTGGGAACAGTTACCGATATTTTATATACGAGAACTGGCCTATATACCTGTTCACCAATCAGTTTCATAGTGTGCATGCTAGCTGCCATATGGCGAACAGAATATCGGCCCGGGGGCCAGGGGGAGGGGGAGCGGTGACAGTTTGCGGCGTTGTTTGAGCTTACCTTTCTACCTAGCTACATCAAACACACGTAAAAGCGGTGCGCACAAGCAATTTTCCCCCCTAACAGACAGGTTGGTTACACGTGCACCAGGCGTGCAGCATTCATTGTACAGGTGTTGGTGTTCGTCGTACCTGGGAGGGGGGTTGTGTTCATATATCTGCACAGCGGGGTACGAGAAAGTCAATATTCTGCCCAGGCTGTCATTAATTGTTTGTTTATTTCAGCAAGAAGAGGTTGTCATGCATGCATGCGCCAAGCTGGTGCACTTCATAGAAAGGTAAGTTTGGCTTGATGTGCGAGCAGGTGTGGATGCTGTGAAAAGGGGGAATAAGAATGTGTCTGTTTACGTCAGCGAAGTCAACTGCTCTCTCTCTCTCTCTCTCTCTCTCTCTCTCTCTCTCTCGCGCGCGCGCTCTCTCTCTTCCTCTCTCTCTCTCGCGCGCG